TTTTGTGACGAAATAATTTTCGACGAAATGAACTTTCGATGAAACAAACTTTCGACGAAATGGGTGTCGACGAAATGACTGTTGACGAAATGATTGTCGACGAAATGAATCAGTCCCGATTGGTTAATAAACAGAAAATTTAGAAACATAATTAATTTATATAGTAGAAACACTATTTTGCAACTTACCTCTTAGAAATAGTATCATTGGAAACAAGTTTTCAGCCAGCATTCATGTACAGATAGTGCCAACCCAAGTACTGTGAGGTAAGATGTCCTTGACAATGATGCAATTTTGATAAACTCCAGGGCAGAGAGAGGCCCTCCCCTGGAATTCAGTTTCATTGTTATATCATCAAGGGTCGCAGCCTTGTGTACACGAGAAACATATGAGAATGATTGTAAGTGTTCAAGGTGGTGTGCGTGCTTCAACATCTGTTAAATTCCGATAATCAAACATCGCATATTTGAATTGTTTCTTTTTTCAACGGTGTGTTGCCTTGATGTCTTATAATTGTTTAATATTGTTTGATATTTAATATTGATTATTAAAACCAAAACGGTATATACCAATCATATATTGACTTGATAAGAATCTTGTAGTAAATACAGACAGATTCTGCACCATGTTTTGATTTCGATAAGATACAGTATTTACATAAAATAATAAAAAAGTGTATATCAATACAAAAAAAAAAGTACTTCTCCTTGGGAATGAACAGCACATCGTTTTCTTTAGAAGAACATACTAGACAACATTCATGTAAAAAATAAATTATTTTTCAAAAGAAAAAAAATCAATCGCGTCAACAAAAAACAATAGGGCTTCTTTGTACAACCCATAAGTGTATATTAATATATAGATCAAATAAAAATTAGTTTTTATAGAAAAAATGCCATACAAACATGGAGATCGTAAAAAAAGAGGAGAAACCAAGAAAGAAGAGGCATTCGCTGAATAAGTGTTATTTTACTTAAAAAGAATGGTGGTTATTGCCATTTGTTACTAGTTATTATTAAAAAAATGGTGGTAATGATTATTGATCAGTCATTTTTTTTTTTTGTAAAAAATATTATCATATTTTATCAAGAGACATTACTGAAGATAGAGTAATAAGCAAATCATTTTCTTTTCAAATGAGTATGGTTGATTATTCTGGTATTAATATAATTTTCAATTAATAGGAAAATGAAAAATTATTATTTCGAAAAATAGTTAATGAATGTAATTTTTTAAGATCTCAAAACAATAAGTTATGGGAAATTATAGGGAAACAACAGCTTGTAATAAGAAATTTACAGACTAATAATCAAAAATTAGCTAGTAGTTTAGTAATGGTAACAATAATGTTCCAAATTCCCTCTCTCAAAAACCTGCCAACTTTGATAACAATAATAATCAAGAAATTTCAAAATATTAATAATAATAATGATAGTGATAATTTCTCTCTTTCACCATCAAATTCAGTAAAATCATCTAATTCATTTAACAATTATCAAAATTATACTAATATTCAATATTCAAACTATTAATACTGAACCAGATATATTTAATTTGGACCAATTTCCACAACTTACTCATAGAGACTCTTGTCTTAAAAAACACTCATTTATTTAACAATAATGACAATAATTCATCAACATTCCCATCATTCACTGCATCTAAAATCTCATCATCTCTCTCTTTAAGCTCATCTAAAGTTTTTCAACACAACAGTCCACCAGATTATACATGAAGTTGAAATTATTCCGACCATTTGCAGATCTGGTTGAAATAGGGTCAAAATAAGGTCAAAACTGATTTTTACTATGTATATATATCAATTTGGTCTCAGCCACAAAGACTTGCTAAAAAGGCAGTCAAATATTTGGAGACAGCTGACACAGTCTCAGATGATGAAACAGATATTCCAGATGAGAACTGACAGCTGGTCACATGATAATTATTTTCTTGATTTACAGAAACATAATTTTCAAATATTTTTTATTATTGAAATAAATAAAATTTACTATTATCACTTAAGGAAAAGAACAGATAACAAACAAATGGAGATTTTAATAAACACATTACTAAATTTTAACCCCTGAAAATTTTTGGTAATACCAATGTTCACTTTGTCTGATTTTGTTGCAGCATGCCCCATATAATATCAATGTTGTTTTTATATATTAATTAATTGATTAATTAATTACATAAATAAATAAATAAATAAATAAATAAATAAATAAATAATAAGTAAATAAATAAATAAATAAATAAATGATTAATGATTAATGATTAATGATTAATGTTTAATGATCAATGATGAATGATGAATGATGAATGATGAATGATGAATAATGAATAATGATGAATGAATGAATCAATCTAATAATCTAATAACTAGTAATCTTGATCTTTGCTAAAGACTAATAAATGTCATACGTATCACTTCTATTCCTTGTAAAATAATTTACAGATCAAATTTTTTCTTGTAAACTATTTTTTTCTCATCCACCAATTAGAATCATTGGTCTGTTTTTTGTTCTAGCCAATTCAAGTATGCCAGAATGCTGTTTTTTTTTATTTTTAACAGTCACTTCAATAATTTCCAATAGCTCTTGATCAGAAACATTTTGTCGTAATAAATCCCGAAGGTTTACTTCTGCATTCCCAAACAAACAAACCTTCAAATTGCCATCAGCAGTAATTCTTAATCGATTGCATGTTCCACAAAAATGATCTGACATGGAAGTAATAAATCCAAATTTTCCAGTAAATCCAGGTATACAATATGCCTTACAATTATCAAAGCAAAAAATAACCCATTAGGTTAATAATTGGCAAAATGAATGAATGACAATTTTCATTAAACCTTTTTTTTTTAAAGCAAACCTTTGAAGTATCATTTAAATCATCAGATAACCTTTGAATATTATGATATTTGGTTTGAATATTATCCAATAGCTCTTTATATGGCACAAATTTTTTCTTATTCCACTTGTTATCTTTTAATTAGAATAAATAAAATATGATTTATTAGCAATTTCTTGCATTTGAAACAAAACTTATGTGTGTGTATATTGTCTTACCATCAAATGGCATATATTCAATGAATCTTACATAAATAGGCTTATTTCGTGTCAATTCTATAAAATCTAATACTTCATTTTCATTTGTTCCTCTTATAACCACAAAATTGATTTTTAAAGGCTTAAGACCCAATTCGATAGCTTGATCAATTGTTTCCAAAACTCTTTCAAGGCCTTGATTTTTTTAAATTAAAAATTAATTTTTTTCCCTAATTAAGATACAACTCCTTTATATATATAATATTTGTTTACCTTTTCTACGTGTGATCAATTGAAATTTAAATGGATCTAAAGTATCTAAACTAAGATTTAATAGATTCAGTCCATTATCAACAAGTTTGGGCAGTTTCCGTTTCAATGCTATTCCATTAGAAGTCATAGCAATTGTCTGTAAGCCATGTGATTTTAATCTTCCCAATTCACCTGAGTATGTGTATGTGTATATGTGTGAAAACATGTATATAAGTTTAAATATAAATAAAACAAACAAAAATATTTCATACCAACTAATTCAACAATGTCACTTCTTATAGTAGGTTCACCACCTGTAAGTCTAATCTTATTAACACCTTGGGATATAAATATCTTTGCGATTCGTATGATTTCCTCGGTAGTTAGAAGTTTATTGGAAGGTGTGAGGTCAACACCATCAGTTGGCATACAATAAGTACCTATTACCAAAAAAAAAGTAAATTGAACAATTATAATGGATTATTAATCAAAAAAAAATATCTTACATCTTAAATTGCATCGTTCTGTTATTGAAATCCGAAGATATGTGTGCCTTCGTTCAAAATTATCAGTCAATGAATTGCTAAAAGGTCGATTTTTATCAATTTCCGCAATTTTTGCCTTTACAATAAATGTAAAATGTCTATTTTATTATTATAATTAAATAAATAACAAGAATTTTTTATTAGAAAAAAGCTTGTAATATAAATACTTGTATACGAAGTTTGGAATTTTGAATATGTGTATGTGTAGAATTTTCAGTCTGTTGTTGTATAGTAGTAGTAATAGTAGTAAATTTTTTAAAAAATTTAATATTATTTGAATTCGGATTTTTAGTATAAAAGTTTGAAAAAAAGTGACGTTTCATATTTCTAAAGAAATTTTCTTTCGATCATTATTTTATTTGTAAAAAAAAAAACCTCCATTTGTATAAAAGAAATGGTGGGCTCTTCGTAGATTTTTCCAATATAGGCAAAGCATAGTAACACTGTTGCAGATCAAATGTGACAAAATCGATCGTTGATCTTTTTTATGTTCTATTTTGTATTTCAATGGAAAAAAAGGAAAAGAAAAACTGGTGTAGCAAATATTAATATATTTTTTTCTGGATGAAAGCATTCATTATTTTTGTCTTTACTGTTTGGTTAAGATCATTCAGATCATTGCTAGATCAAAAAGTTAGATATGGACTGTAGTTTGGAGTAAAGACTACACATATGCACATAATTTATTTGAATTTAATTTTATTTGAAATTTACCAATCTTTAATTAAATCAAAAGCATTTTTTAAAATCTAAAGCTATTATTTGTTCTTCACTTATATCTTCTCCACTTTTTCATCCCCTGTTAAGGGACCAGTCAAATTTTCCTTTTATTTATGTAAGAAGATATGTTGGAATCTACACCTTTATAAAATTTCAAGCAATAGGTACATGTATAATTGTGGATCTTGTTTCAGCAGGTGAAATAAAGCCACATTTACATTATGGAGTATAAAGATGGCTCTGCAACTAGGAAGTTGAAACCCAAAAAAAAATATTGACATCTAATGCTGCAACTGCTGTAAGTCTGCAACTGTCTGCAACCGTCTATAATTGTCTGCAACCTCTGGTTGGTCAGCTACTTCAAGCACTATAAAACTAAATTTATTTTTATCAAAAAAAATTTTTTAATTAATGATTTTATTTAAAAACAATAAATCCCATTTTGCAGTTATGTGATTCCATTTTTGATACTAAATCATCATAATTATATATAGTTGCAGACAGTTTCAGACAGTTTCAGGGGTTGCAGAGGTTGCAGAAAAGGTTGCAGCTCGAGCTTTAAAACCTGCAGTTGCAGAAAATGTGAAAACAGTTACAGACACCAACTTTAAAAATGAAATTAACAGAAATTTAATTTTTAATTCTTGAATTTTATTGGCTGGAATGTTTGATTGGAAGCCTTCCAATTCCAATGAAAGGTCATTGGAAACTTCCAATGCACATAAGCTATTGGAAGGCCTGTGACTTCCAAACTTCCAAAATCTCCCATTGGAAGCTTCCGATTCCAATGAAAGGTGTTGGAAGTTTCCACTGTTACTAAGTCACACGAACGTAAATACTTTTTTATATATGAAAATCTCACATCTTTATATCCCCAAGAGTAAACCCTTTTTTTTTGATATTCTTAAAAAAAATCTATAGAAATGTTCTTTGACATTTGTTCCATAACGCAAAATAAAAAATATTATTTTATAATACTAAAGTATAGTACTATTTTTTTTATACAAAGTCGTCAATTAGTAAATTTTGTGACATTTTTCCTCTGCTGATCTCTATTTAGAGTTCGTTCACTCATAGACGGATCGTCAATTAATATTTGACTATCTCCCGTAATCTGCTGGCCACCAGTTAGAAAAATGAAACAACAACTTAATGTTGCTTTACTAGTAGCAGATACACCCATACCTAAAGTATTAGAAAATTATGGAGATTATTATGTACAATTTACAAAACTTTTGAATGATTCAATAAACTTTGAAAATAAAAATGAACACTATTTAATAAATTTAAAGAAATTTGATGTTGTGAATGAAATGAACTATCCAAGTGATAAAGAATTAAAAGAAGATATTGATGCTATAATAATTACAGGCTCTTGTAAGAATTTTAATAATAATAATTTAATATATATTTCTCTAGGGTGATCAATAACGTTGTTTTTTTAGCCTTTTCTGTTTACGAAGATGTTCCTTGGATTCATAAACTTGACAATTTTATTTCTTTAATTTATAATAATTATCGTAAAGTCAAATTAGTTGGAATTTGTTTTGGTCATCAGATTATTGCTAAAGCTTTAGGTGGAGAAACTCTAAAAAATCAATTGGGATGGGAGGTATTTTTGTATTTATTATTTATTTAATTTTCAAAAAATTTGTTTTTCTAATAATGATTATAAATAGGTTGCTGTCACTAATGTTTATTTGAGTGAAGCAGGAAAACATATTTTTAAAACTAATAAAAAAGTTTTGGTAATTCAAAATTATTCTCACAATTAATTCATTGTCATTCACATGCATACACTCACATATATTTCATATATATAATTTATTTTAAAGCGTCTTCAAGAAATGCATCAGGTAATAAATTATTAATTTATATAATTTAACAATTTATTTACTTGTTCAACATTCATGATTTATTGTGACAGGATCATGTAACAAAAATGCCATCAAATTTTATCAATTGGGGAAGTACAGATGTATCACAAATACAAGGAATGTTTAAAGAAGGACATGTCTTGACTGTTCAAGCTCATCCTGAATTTGTTAGTGGAGAGGTGAAGGAAATAATTAAAAATCGTTTGGAAAAGAAAATTTATACAAAAGAATTTGCAGATCAAAAAATCAAAGATGCAGATTTAGAAGTTGATAATATATGGTTAGGAATGAAGATTATAGAATTTATGTATGGTAAGTAATAAAATATATATAACAAAATATTTTATTTTATTTATATTAATTATTGTATTATAATTCGATAATAGATGAAATTCAAAGATGGTAAAGATGAATGATTATTTATTTTGAAATTCTGTTCTTTGAAAAATTCTTTCCAAATAAAAAATACAAATTATTTTATTTTTCATTAATTTTAGCCAAAAGTTCTGAATCACGAAAAAGTGTATATTCCTATAATACAAAAAAAATTTTTTTTGTTATATATATATATATTGACTAGATGAAGTTTAATTAATTATCAATATAAAATTACATCATCTCCAACTTTTATTGTGCTTCCACCGTATGAAGGAAGAAGAACACGATCACCAGGTTTTACTTGATTTGGAATGTGTTTTCCATGCTAATCACGTGATTCAAAAATATTAATAATAAATAAATAAAATCGCAATGTGAAAAAAAAGGTTGTATTTTTATTTTTTTATACCTTATCTAAGGCACCTTTACCGGTGGCAATAACCTGACCTTCGTTAAGAGCTTCTAAAGCCTTTTCAGGAATTAATATCCCAGCGGTTGTTTTCTTTTATTATTTTGAGATATATGATGTGTAAATTTCATCATCATTATATTGAAAATGGGGGGATTTTTTTTTCGACAATTTAAATTTATTTATATTACCTGCTGAGCTTTAATACGTTGAACAAGTACTCTGTCAAGAAGTGGGACAATTGATTTTACATTTCTTGTTGCAGTTGCCTAAATTAAAAAGTAAACAATATAAATATTAAAAAAATGAAATATATATATAAATATAACATTATGCGTACCATTTTATTTTAAATTTTTTTTTTGTAAAAAAATTTTTTATTTCCGAGATTATATTTTTATTTTTCGTGTTGTGATACAATTATGAACTTTTTAATTTATCATGGAAATTGATGGAAAGATTTTAGCTACCAATCAAATTTAAATCAATTTTTTCTTATATTGATAGAAAAAAAATCAAAAAAAAAAATTCTTAAATACATCTAAAAAAATTCATCTAAATCTCAATTTAATAAAATGTATCGTGTTCCAAAACTTTTCAACAATAAATTTGCTATTTTCACATCCACATCAAAAATTACCCATAAACTGATAAACAATTTATCAAAAGACTTTATCATTAATAACAAATCATCATTATCACCTTTATCAAGATATTATGTTACTCATAAAGAACTAAATTTTGGTGTGGAAGGCCGTGCTTCTTTATTAAATGGTGTGGACATACTTTCTAAAGCTGTAGCTGTAACGCTTGGTCCCAAAGGAAGAAATGTTTTAATTGAACAACCTTTTGGTAGTCCAAAAATTACAAAGGATGGAGTGACTGTTGCTAAAAGTATAACACTTAAAGATAAATTTGAAAATCTTGGTGCAAGGTAAAAAATAATAATAATAATTTATCAAGTCTTTCATCACATGATTAATCAATGTGTTACATATATAATATATATATTTTTTTTGATTTTAGGCTTGTTCAAGATGTTGCAAATAAAACTAATGAAGTTGCAGGTGATGGAACAACAACTGCAACAGTACTTACTCGTGCAATTTTTGTTGAAGGTGTTAAAAATGTTGCTGCTGGATGTAATCCCATGGATCTTAGGCGTGGAGTTCAAATGGCTGTTGATGCCATTGTTAAATATTTAAGGGAAAATAGTCGTGTTATTACCACAAGTGAAGAAATTGCCCAGGTAAATAAATGATATTTATAGACTGGCTAAATGTTATTAGTTAAAATTAACTAAAAAAAATTTTATCTAGGTTGCCACAATCTCTGCTAATGGTGATATACATGTAGGAAACCTTATAGCCAATGCTATGGAAAAAGTTGGTAAAGAAGGAGTTATCACTGTTAAAGAAGGGAAAACAATAGATGATGAATTAGAAATTACAGAGGGAATGCGATTTGATCGTGGATATATTTCTCCATATTTTATCACTGATACTAAATCTCTAAAAGTGGAATTTGAAAAACCATTGATTCTTCTATCAGAGAAAAAGATTTCTGTTCTACAAGATATTTTGCCAGCCTTAGAAACATCAGCACAACAACGTAGACCACTATTAATTATTGCTGAAGACATTGAT